AGAGGAGTGTGGATTTTCACGGATTTTTCGCAAACTTGAATGTTACCTCAGGAAAAAATTCATTAAAAATGTCCTAATTCGTTTAGGAAAAGAACAACTGACAAATTTTTAGATCTAATGTTTGTGAACACCCATGCAAAAAAAAACAATCAATTTCCATGAGTGATAAGTGCAGTATTCATTACGTAAGACATGTCATAAAATCCAATATGGCGGCGTATCCATGGAAACGAAACTTTTTTCTCAAATTTGATTGCGGATTTTAAGACTCCTTACTATGCTTGTTGTATGTGTGAAATTTGGTAAAATTCGGTCCAGTAATAAGCGAGATAGCCTCCATGTGTAGCCCCCCCCCTTAATGGAGTGTGTTGTGCCCATAAGGACTAGGACTCACTTGTTGACCAGCTGCAGCAGAAGGAACATGAGGTTGTCCCGCAGAGAATCCGAGCTCCCGGCCCTACTCTCCGACCCGCGCAGAAGGGAGGCCACTAGACCCCCGAAACATGTGCGGGCACCGGTGGAGGTGTCATGGCTGCTCCGACACGCAACCTGGAAATGGTTGGGAATGATTGGAAATTATTTTAAAAGATTGTAAAAGAATTTTTTAGTAAGAGTTTTACAGCGCTAGCAACACAATAAAGTCACATACGTGCCGAAGATTTGAGGTTTTACAAGAGAGTAACAAACATAAAAAAGAAGAAGGGGAGATCAGGACGATAGCTGTCTGATAGGAAAGAAGGAGCAAACGTAAAAGAATGTAAAAGATTGTATATGATTGACCTTTTACAACTCCATTAACACAATTTAGATCATTTAGCAGGAGACTGGCTGTCTCAACCCCGCCTGTCAGGGCCAACCCAAGCCATGTCTCAACAGACAGACAAGAGATACTCGGTAAAGTAGCTTCCCCACTCAAAGAATTGACCTCACGTCTTCTAAGTGCAGCAGCAAAGAGCCACACAAGTACACCAGACAGGCCGGTGGCACACAACCAGTGGTGTTGAGACTGAGGAATGAAGAGAACACCCACAACAGAAAGGCCCTTTAGAACAGGGGAAAAGCAAGAGGAATGAAGAATGGAAGGGGAGAAAAGAAATAAAAGCTACCCATGGCGCCCTCGGATCAAGGGGAAGACCGCGTGGAACTTGGAGAAGAATCACAGAAATCGATGTGCAGAAAAGTGGGAAGACATGGAATAACATCAAGAGGCTAGCCCAGGATAGAGAAAGGTGGAGGGTGTTTGTCCGTGGCCTATACCCGGATACAGGGGGAGAAAGGCAATGATGATGATGATGATGATGGCACCCTCCAAACACTAATTTACTACAAGGCCTCCATCAATTGCAACAACAGGACCTATAAAAACAGTAGCACCTTAACCTTAACATCACCCCCCCCACACACACACACACACACACACCTCCCCTCAACCCTCACCAGGTCCTGATGAGCCAGATGTTGACACACTTGTGAGGTGACAGTCTGTACCACACCTCCCTCCTTCCTCCCCCCTCCCCTCACCTGATCTTGATGAGCCAAATGTTGGTACACCAGTGAAGTGACAGTCTGTACCACGCTGAGAGCGTTGCTCACGTCCACGGCTAGCACGGGACTGTCACACAACATCTCCACAAACTGGACCTGTGCGTCCAGCGGGCCCGTGCTCTGGTAGATGGCGCCCCTGAGGACAAAATCATTATCGGAGATCCAGTTATGTCCCTTCAGTCTGCTGGAGAAAAGAGTCCCTTTTTTACGAATAAGTAAGAGTTTTACAGCACTTGCAACACAATAAGGTCATGTAAGTGCCTAAGAATAGATGTGTTACAAGAGAGTTACAAATATAAAAAAAGGGAAAGAGGTCAGGATCATAGATGTTTGATAGGAAAGAAGGAGCAAATCACACCAGAGCACCCGCCCACCACCCACTAAACAGTCCTTAAGTGGTGGGAGAAAAGCAAGACAGACAGTCAGAAACAAGAGGGGAACAGACAGACAGAAACAAGAGGGGAACAGACAGACAGAAACAAGAGGGGAACAGACAGACAGAAACAAGAGGGGAAGAGGGAACAAGAAGTGCCAGGGGTGTCCTCCCACCACACACAAGTCATCTCCCTTTCATGCACTGGTAAATGGCACCTCTGGAAATACAACACAAGTAGTGGAGATTCAGTTTTGTTCTTCCATGTTACAACATTATCAGAGATTAAGTTCTGTTCTTCCATGTTACAACATTATCAGAGATTAAGTTCTGTTCTTCCATGTTACAACATTATCAGAGATTAAGTTCTGTTCTTCCATGTTACAACATTATCAGAGATTAAGTTCTGTTCTTCCATGTTACAACATTATCAGAGATTAAGTTTTGTTCTTCCATGTTACAACATTATCAGAGATTAAGTTCTGTTCTTTGATGTAGCAACATTATCAGAGATTTAGTTTAGTTTTTTCATGTTGCAACATTATCAGAGATTTAGTTTAGTTTTTTCATGTTGCAACATTATCAGAGATTTAGTTTTGTTTTTGGGGGCTCTCGTGGCCTAGAGGTTAAGGTGTTGGCCTCTCATTCAAAGGTCCCGGGTTCGATTCCGGGTGGCGATCAAAAAAAAAATTTTCTTCTCTAAAATTGTCTCCTTTCACATCCTTTCCTGATCTCTAACAATGTTCTGTTGTCTGCTTTCATTTCCACTTTCTGCCCCCACCCCCTCACCTCCTTTGCCCCCTCCTCTGGGCTCCTGACTCTTTCTGCAGCCTTTCTACTGCTACTCCTTGGCTCCTCCTAACTGCTGTCTTTCTGCCACACCCCTGATCTTCTGGTAGGAAAGATCTACACCTAGCCTTCTCGGACAAGGGCGAAAAATCTCGGAGGGCCCGTGTGCAAGTTGCGCACGTTAAAGATCCCTTGGTGGTCTAAAATCGATAAGAGTAGGCTTCGGCCGCCACCCTGGCAAAATTCAAAATTTCCTACCAACGAAAAAGTATTAGGTGTGTCCCGCGCGCTCATATGACCTTATGCAGTTGCGAGCGCCGTAAAACCCTATACTAAACAAACAAACAAACAAACAAGTTTTGTTTTTTCATGTTGCAACATTATCAGAGATTTAGTTTAGTTTTTTCATGTTGCAACATTATCAGAGATTTAGTTTAGTTTTTTCATGTTGCAACATTATCAGAGATTTAGTTGGGTTTTTTTCATGTTGCAACATTATCAGAGAGTTAGTTCTGTCCTTGAATGTTACATTATCAGAGATTTAGTTCTGTCCTTTCATTTAGTTACATCCACACCATAACGGAACTTAGCAGTGGGGAAAGGCAAGATAGAAACAACAAATACAATAACAGCAGCAGTAACAATAACAGACTTTAGTTTAGCTTTAATAAAGGTTTTACGGCGCTCGCAACTGCATAAGGTCATATGAGCGCCAAGGGGTGGATGTCTTACAGGGAATCAGACTTAGACTGCTCACCTCTCTAGCTTCAACAGCACAAGGTCTGCTTCGACTATCAAGGCACCTTGGAAATAGCGTGTCACAAGAGTGTGACAAACATACAAAAGAAGTAGAGGAAAATAACAACAGTAAGGATTAGGAAAGAAAAAGCAGCAGTTCCCTGTAGTAGATCAGGCACAGTTATGAGCGTGACATTGACGAATCAGCCCATTTACAATTTTACAGTGCATGAATGAGAAATGTTCCCCCTTTGGGAATGGCCGAAAGACACTTCAGTCAGTGGCACTGCCTCGGGGGTCAATAACAGATGACAACAACAACAATATAACATGCAACAAACTACAACAGGAACAACAGCAGCAGCAACAACAAATGACAACAACAACAGATGACAACAACAAACAACAACAACAACAAAACAACAACACCCCAAACACCTCTCACCTCTCAGCTGTCAAATCGTAAACAATCTTGAGCAACATTTCCTTGAACCTCTGACCTCCCACTTCGATGGACTTGCACTGAAGCCTGTACAGCAGGTCGCCAAACATTTTCACAGCTGCCGGGCCCATCTG